CGCCTCAGCCGAATACAAAACTGAAGAAAAATGGGAATAGGACTTGCCTTTTGTAAGTCCCACCGCGCTAGTCGATGTGGTCTGAAAATTTTCCAAAGGCAGACATATACAGGTTTTGCCATTTCTGGATATGAGATGAAATAGATTTTTTTTTTCAGAATTTCTACTGATGGTAGAATCCATTTTGGCAACTGAACGCGTTAAAATGGAACTTTTTTATTTGATTTTAAAGATATTCTCTCTCGACGTTTGCTCTAAGAGCAATTTCTGAAGTGAGAGTTTTGAATAAAATTATCAACATGATTCTGGATGTTAAATTTTTAATACGCTAAAGGAAGTCAGTGGACTGACAAAATGGAAGCTCTTGACAGCGAATACATGACTGTTTTTTTTTTTTCAGTTGTTTGAAAAAGACGACCCGCTTTCCAGAACCACACGACGACAATTTTTTCATTACTTGTATGCCGCTGTTTGTTGTTGTAGCGTTCTTAAAAGGCGACGCCTGATCGTGAAATGGGAAGTCACGAAAAACTATAATACTAAATACATCCGGTATTGGATAGGGAAGTGAGCGGGCCCTGGGTATGAGGAAGACTGACGTAATCTTTTTCCTGGGGAAGCAGACCATTATGTCACTACTACATCCGTTTTATCTTGAAGGCTTTATCAGTGTTCCACTATAAGTAGGGCTGCAAACACTTTTGCTGATCACAAGCTAAAAGATCTCAGCCGCTCTTCAGACTGCTTCGAGAACCCGCTTTCGTTTGTGAACGAAAAAATGGCTCTGTCTTCTCGTGCTCTCTGTACAAGGCTCCTTAAAAAGGTATTTGTCATTCTGCAAAATTATTACGATGCAGCTCAGATTTCCAACTAGTCGGTTAGCGTGGGGTTAAAATGATTTTAGGCTCACCTGAGAACACTGTGTGAAGGGGTTTTTTTTTTAGTTTAATGCAAACTGACTGATAAGGCAGGATTTAACCGCCGAGCTGGCATACAATAGGAAACTCGCGCGACTAAGAAAGAGTTCCATTCCCTTTTCACTAACTAGACCATGAGTTCACCTTATTTTAACTTTCCACCTGATTTACGCAGAGAGATGATTTGTTTTGCTCCTGAGAATCAGATCAGAGTGCGTTGCCGGATAGTTTGCAAGCGGAGTCATCATCTCCGATTGATCCTGTCGCCGCACATCCGATCCCTCGCAATGTCAACAAGCTATACGGCTTCAGTAAAATAATGCGGAGGTTTAGAAATTTTGCTACAGAAAAGGCCCTTAGGTTATGCTTGTTACTAGCGACACATACATGAGCTTAAACATGTACTTGAAGGCAAAAATGATATTGCTCAATACTGATGACTTATCAGTATTTCGTGAGAGCTGCTAGTCACATCCTGTTTAAAACCAAGTTCTGAGGAAAATAGCTAAATCATCACTGTGTAAACTGTTCTTAAGCAGCTATAGAAAATTACTTTCGTCACTGCTTGTTTCGATTTTCTTTTAATGGTTCAGCTCTGATCATTTTGTTGCACATTTAAATGAAAAGCTGGTGAGATGGAAAGCCTTGGAGAAACGTCGACTTGTCTCTACAAAAACTACCAACCAATAGCTCTTTCACCTAATAACTGCCCTTTTAATCACAAAAGGTGCTTTTTATCGCTAAAAACGAATTCGGAATTCGGAATTCTGGTAAAATAAACTGGAAATCCATTACCCGATGATAGTTTTAAGAGATAGAGAATAAATGTGATACCGAGTAAATGCATCGTGTCTATAATACAGGCAACAAATGCAAGGAATCGTTGATGTACTTGTAATATTTCGATATAATTCTATATCATCCTCAGACTGAGGTGACATACAGGTAGCAGAAATTTAAATACTGCAAGATGGTACAAGAGCATTAGCACGTAAAAATACAAAACAAAGACCATACTATCAAGGGAATAGGCATAGTTCCGGCCACTGGCTTTTAAATCAGCGTTCAAATATGGTGCCGAACGTTTGACATGGTAAGCTTCTTTATATAGTAATAGATTCCAATTATCATCGCAGTCTATTATGTTTGTGTTACCACGCACAGTTTGGGTGAGAAATCCTTTGTTCGTTGCAGTAGAAGGTAGGTTGTTCTCATTGATAAAAATGTCCGGTATGATGTATAAACCTTGTATGCACAATAGCGCAGATGTTTATACATAGCGCTTTCTTTGTCGGTGAGCGCATGTTCTTGTCTGCAGACAAGCAGAGTTCTGTTCGTTTCGCCGATGTACGAAGAATTGCAACCGGGACAAATGAATTCATATACAACATTTGATTAGCTTAGAGGCGGCGTTTTGTCTTTAGTGCTTGTGAAGAAACATAATTTTGTGGTCTACTGTTTTATTCAGATGTCCCGCACATTCCAGACGCTTACGCCTAAGGCTTTTAGCAAGCTTTGTTGTTAGGTCACCGACGAATGGGATGGTAAGCCAGATAGTTGAATGCTGGCTGTTGTGGGAAGTGTCGTTGGTAATAAGATCTGGAGCCCTGTTCTGTGCATTCGTAGTAAAGCGATCAATTAATACGCTCGCAACACGTTTAGGAATATTACAAGTACATCAACGATTCCTTGCATTTGTTGCCTGTATTATGGACACAACGCATTTACTCGGTATCACATTTATTCTCCAAACTGGAAATGAAAGAATTGAGATGTTTTGGGTAATGACACTTTCAATATTTCAACCAGTAGTGCCAAGCGCGGTTTACAGCTGTCTTCAGTTTTAACTCTTATCCTCATCATTATCTTCATGTAAACTCACTAGTAATTCTCGATAGGGCGTGGCGAGCTATCGGCGCTAGCCGCCCCTGCGGCATTTTGGGGCTTGCCGCCCAGGAAATTTTTAGGTTCTCGGAAATGCAATTTCCCACGTTTGGCATGCCGGGAACAGTTTTATAAATTTAAAACATAGAAAAACTTAAGTATTTAGTAACTTTTGTTGTTTATTTGTCAACCTTTGGAATAATTGATAGTAGGTTCAATAGGAGAGACTAGAGACCGTCAAACCAGCCGATTTAATTATTAAAGACGCTTTTCGGCAATAAATATAAAAATGTATATCACATTTTTCCGAATACGTGCGTATGTGCGTATGTGGTGGCTATGTTTCCGCCATGTTGAAAATTGCGCGCGCGATATCTGCAGCAAGAGACAACTCTTCTTCAAGTGGCAAGCTTTTCCCCTGCTCTATCATGCCAACTAGAAGAGTTATACGCCAGATACAAGATTCAGTGTTTTGTTGTATGACTGAGTGTAAAACAATCTTTCTCTCAATTGTGCCCTCTTCTAGCCAAACTATACAATTTCCATTTGAGTCAATTCGACTCGGATATTTCTGCAGAATGTTCTAATAGCGAATTTTTTTTGCCGTTGATGTTTGTCGTTGTGGGGCTCTGATGTTAATCTTTTTCTTTCTGTGCCTTAAAAACCAATGCTGGAGGAAAGCTGTAGCCACATTTAGGCGGTTTTTCAGTTAACGGAAGGAATAAGCTTGAGACGTTTGTTAACTCAATCCTTTACTCACACGATGTTAAAATTTACGTTTGCTTTAGAACTCGTGTTAATCACTGATAATCACGAAAAAAATCAACACCGTCAGATCATGAAACTTAGAAATAGAACGGAATCTGATTCCATAATGTTTTTAACATCCATGCTTCAATTTTACTGCACTACAAAGCGGACTGCACAGGAAAGCAACCATAAGAGGTCACCTAACTTCCGAAATCTTCCCCAAACCTACCCAAATATATTCACCTTGTAACTGAAGAATTTCCTGTATCCAGGAAAATTTAGCATACCACCCAGCAGACCGGAACTCGCTAGCCAGTGAACAAGCTCCTTGAAGGGTCCGACCGCGGCTAGAAGGGCCGAGAAAGGAACTGGCTGAAATCAGCTAGATCGAAGTGGCCGAAGGAGGAATGGAGTGGGGGCTTTTATCCTATTTTCTCCCCACTTTCTCTTCGTTGCATCCTCGATCCACTAGAGAGCCAGGTCACAGGCTAGGAACTCGCGTGTGCGAATAGCAGGGGTAGAAAAACTCACCAGGTAGGGGTCTACTAGGTTCTATTTTCAGAAGGGAAGTGTAGATTTTTTAATGACCCAAAACAATCGTTTTACTTTATTGTGAATTAACAGGACTAAGCCATTCATTTCGTCTTCCTAAGCCTTTGTGTAGAAAGTTTTCGGTGGCCGGAAGTTTAAGGTTTTGACGTTTACTAGCCTTTTTGTTTCGAGCGTTTCAGGTTATGTTTCAAGACATAATTAATCCATGACGTCACTCATCGTTTGGCCCAGGTATTTAACCCGGTTTTAATGTCACGCACACAGAAGTTTCCTACCACCTTTGTTGTTCGAACGTAAATAAAAACTTGCTTTGTTATAACTAGCATTCTGATCATCTCTGTTTTGTTATCCCTGAGGAAAAGACCAGGCACTTTCACGCTGATCACCCCGAAAAAATTACGTGACCATTTATGTTGCTTTACAACTTACGTGATCTTCGATCACACAAGGTCACCGGGCGGATGGTCGGGGCCGACATTTGTTTTGTTTGGGCTTCAACGTGCTTTCACACAGCTTATGCCGTTGCGAAATTGCGCTGGTACTCAGTTGCGACACCACTGAGACGGGGTATCGCAATTTCGTTCCAAGCATATTGCAGTTTGATGCGTATGAATGACTGGGCTGTTGATATTTTGGTATATTATCATATCAGAAGCAAGCGCAGCGCAGCGCTGGATTTTACGTGATTTTACGAAGACTAACTTCATCTATTCGTCGATTTATTGAAATTATTTATAACCGAGTGATATATTACTAAATGTTACTAAAATATAATTGAAAAAAGTCAAAATCTTAGAGGATTTGTTTCGCCTGCTAACTTCGTTTATGATCATGAACAATATGCTTGGTCACGTTCAGACATTGTGACGTAAAGATGACGTCATGTGGATTCATCCAGATCTTTCGGTATCTGTCCCTCTGTCTAATTTTGGTCGTTACTCGAAGGGAAATTTTAATAATTGTATTTTCTCATGTATTTTATAATGGACACATAAAGCAGTCTTTCTCAGATTGCTAGCCGAGTCAGAAAATCAAGTTCGTCGAGAATAACTGCCGAAATGACAAACGTCGCGGATAAATATCGATGCGAGAACTGCTTGGAACTTCAGCGCTCGCTTGTCAAGACTTTAGGAGAGAAACGGTCGCTGCTTTTAAGATTACAAAAAGAGCAGGCACGAATAAGAAAACTCTTAAGAGAAGCGGAAAAATCGAGGAAAAGAGATGAAGAGGTATGAAGTCATGTTATCCATAAATGCCGCTACAAATACAACGCTATGGACAAAGAACAAGATGGATCTTTCGGAGTTCGGAGAGCATTCGCGCCATTACATGTATATTGTATTAACATTGCGTAACCTCCTTGCCGGTTATCCCTCAGTCAGGTATCCTCGTCTGAAAATATAATTTAAATGAGCGCTTCAAAATTTATTTCAACAGTTTTTTGTCGTTAGTTTAATGTAGCAAGGACGGGTTTCAACGTGTTTCTTGTTGTGGTAATAAACGTTTTCAACCGTTTTCATTGTTGACATTTCGTTGTGAAAAGACTCGACGCATTTCATCTTCATGGGATAGAAAGCATAAGTTAAACTTTTTTCGGTCACTGCTACAGGAAGCTTATCTAATCTACAAAAGCAGATTAAGTTTTCGAATTTTCTCGACAAGGTGTGACATCTAGGTGTGAAACAACAGACGAGAAAAAATCCAAAATGGTTACTGAATCGCAGGCAATGTTTGGGTAAACGTTATGTTGATAGAAAATTGTCAATCATTTCTCAGGAGCAGTCACTTCCAAGGGACATTTCAAGACCTGCCGGTGAAGGTGGCGGAGAATGTTTAGAGTGGCAACTGAATGAGGTAACACAAAACTTTAAAAACTTTTTCGTATTGCCCCACATAAATTTCTTGCGTGACGGTTGTTCGTAACTGTTTACGGAAACCAAAGTTTGGATAAATTGCTTGCATTTCGTTGTCTTTTCACTTTCTGTCAATGAGCAGATTCTTAAAAAATCTTTGATGTACTTGTACGTGATTGTATCCTTTCTAAAGAATTTTAGATGTCAGGTTAGAAGTTAGAATAATCGTTGATCAAATCAAGTCAAACAATTTTGTATCTTTTAATCTTTAATCTTTCTTTAATCATTATTTACCACATGGTTGCCATGTTTAAGGGTTACCCCCAAGTCGATTAGTCTCTAGCCGTTTAGCCCCAATCAGAAGTCGATTAGTTAGCCCTCATATTCATGCTTAAAATAGGCAGACAGAGTGTTTTCGACTTCTTTAAACGGTTAGGGGCTAATCGTGGGGGCTAAATGACTGGTTACCCTTATAAGATTGCACTGGATCCATCATTAAATACGCGCCTAATACGACCAGTTTAGTATTGCAACCGGTTTGAGAGCAGAGGTTATGGACTGCCTCACTAGAAGTCAGATTAAAAGGGTTCCATTGGATAATTGGCACCATTTTGTAAACATAGCGTGACGTTTAAATTAGGATGACTGCATAGGGAACAGCCTGGCATGACAAGACCACGACAGCATTTTGCAGTTTTCACATTACTGGTAAAATCCAACAGTGTACTAAACAAGTGTGCACACTATTTTTGGGACCTTGTTTATCATGTCTGTCAGGGCCAAAATTAGTACAAGTTCTTACAGAATTCCCCCACCCCTATTTTATGGAATTTTAAACTAGAATCTTCCCTCTTATGTTGAAAATCTATTTAGTGATGCATGCGATTAGGTGGTTGTGAATAGAATATTACAAAGTTTTGGCATTCTTGACTGCAATTTGAATATCAATAACCACAACAATCATTATGCTGAGTATGCAGAACTGTTACTTGCCCAAGCTTGCATGATTAGCTAAAGAAAGATTCAGTCTCAAGTAACACTTTATTACACCTATCAGGTATTTCTCCTCATGAAAATCCTTCATTTACTACTCGTTTACTTCTTCAACATGTTTCCCTAGAAAGTTCTGGTAGAAGTAGTGATTTTAAATGCATGACTAAGTGCTAAATCGACTGTGAACCTAAATGTATTAATTTTGGTTCTGAAGGTTATGGAGGTCAACAAAAAGTGGAAAGAAGATTATGACACTCTAAAGATAAAACATGAAACTGAATGTCAACTTCTTCAGGAAGAACTGGACTTAACTAAGGAAAAGCTTGCAGATTCAGAAACACAAGTACTTGCCCTAGGATCTGAGGTTACTAGGCTTGCGACCACACTGAACGAGCTGTACCAAAGACATGGTGATTCTACAAGCAGCTCATCATTATTAGATGTGGATGATTATGAAGTATTTAAACAACAGGTATGTTAAAAAACATCACCATATGGTTCTGATTATTTAACAATGGTTCATTGCTTCAACAATATGATCCTATGGCCATTAACCTTTTTGTTTTCGAAGTTCGTATGATGAGCCTATAATAACACAACTGCCCGTAACTAATTACCTTGTCCCTTTTTCTGACTAAAAATTTCGGCCTCCTTTCATACTGGAAGACTGCAAGTATCTAGCTACCTTATCATTCTAGGACAAATAAAAAACACTGACATCTCAAACCTAACAAAGTCAGTGTTATTTATAATAACCTACTATGTGTGACTATTATTGGTAATACTAAGCAGATTTTAAACTGTGGTTGTGTAGATACAAGTGTACAAGGAAGATTTCTCAATTGAGAGGAGAGACCGTGAACGAGCACAAAGTGAGAAAGATTACCTTCAACAGCAGCTTGCTGATGCTCAAGAGGTCATTGCTACTTTGACACAAGAGGTATTTAATTCAAATTTAGTACTGTTGGAATTTTGTAAAGTTCTAGGGGCAGCAAATTAAGTCCCTCAAAAAGATGCCTGCAGAATGTTAGTTGAATTTTACAGGTCTCGCTGTCTTGATTTGTTGTCACCACTCCTTCTTTGAGTTTTGCGTTCTGTCTTGCGGTCTCAAATTTATCATTTTACCCCAAGCACAACACTGAGCCAGCCATAATTTCGTTGGTTAGCCTGTGATCTTTGTCTTAGTGGCTAATCCATATGGATGTTAAAGGTAAAATTATCTGTAATTTAATATATTCTTTTTGCTTATTGATTTGCCAAGGTTGAGATTTACAAGAGTCAATTAAATGAGAGNATAGCCGAGGGCGACTCTTACGCTTCTTTCGTGCTTAGCAACCTCCCGCGTGCATCCATAACTCAATAGTACACGCTGTGGCGTTTACCATTTGTTAATGAGACGACGCACTGCGAGTGATAAAATTCTCTGGAATAAAAACAAAACTGATAATAAAGTTTTTTTGCGTAGTATTGTGTGGCAGTATAACAAAATAACTTGTCCCATATTCGGCCACAGATTTTCAGGGAAAATATTTTTCACTTTAGTAGAAATGCCCGGTCAGAGTGTCCGATCAGGCTAAGCTTTTTACTGTCAAAACCTCAAATTTACCGGACAATTGTCCGATGACCGACTGTTATTTGCAGGCTCGCTTTGGCACGCGCGGCTGTCGTCTAAGTCTGAATTGTTACAGTTATTTACAGTTATTGTCGTAGCACGCATTTTTGAATTTCAATGGCGTAGTAGAAATTTATGTATAACGGTTTTTCTTCATTCACTCTCAAGAAGAAATATAGGTGTTCTTCACAAAGGTGTATTAGACGTAGACGTAGACGTATATGTATATGTATACATAAAGTGAATGTGTGAAAGAAAATTCGCCCTGAGTGGGATTTGAACCCACGTCCCCCCGCATACTAGTCGGGTGTGATATCCACTACACCATCAGGACAACCAAATCCAACTAAGGATCAAATTCATGATACACGACCGAAGTCAACTTAGCGGATGACAATGGAGGATCCACAAGGGATACAGGCTTCTTTTAAATTAATTTATACTTGTATATGAAAGAACCCCTGATCCTTAGTTGGATTTCAAACGGAGTTATAGGCTTCCCCTACCTTGTCACCTTGAAAGAAAATTTCCCGGGAGACCACGTTCCATACCATGTAAAATCACATCTTCGATTGCCGTGTTGCCAGCATGGTTGTCCTGATGGTGTAGTGGATATCACACCCGACTAGTATGCGGGGGGACGTGGGTTCAAATCCCACTCAGGGCGAATTTTCTTTCAAACATTTATTCACTTTAAAATATGATTATCTGGGGTGTACAGGGTCAGGGGTTCTTTCATATACATGTATATGTATACATATATATACAGTGTATATGTACACTGTATATATAAAATTGTTACTGGAACTCTCAGGCCAACAAAGGTGTCACCACGTCAGGAGGATCAGTCAAGATTCCCAGTCTAAACCTCACAGCATAAACGAACGTAGAGAGTTAAAATATTGCGAAGACGAACAACTTCTGACATTAAAAAAGATTTAAAAAATTTAATAAAATGTTTCGGTCTGAGAACTTCTTCAGTTATTACAACTTTTGAATAAAAACGGGCTTTTAATAAGATTGAGGTGCTAGTGATTACGTAATTACAAGTGACAACTAATGAATAAGGTACAAAATCACGTGAAAGAGCAGAAAGTGGTGCTAATTAATAGATATCAAAAAACAAAATCAACAAAGCGACAAATATTGAATAAATCGAAAACAAGTTACTATGAAAATAATCAGCAAAATATGAGACAAAACCTAAAAAACCAAACTGGCTAAAACGAATAGAATAACCGAAGAGGCTTGCGGCAAGCATTAGAAAAAGCTAAACCCACCCTTACATACAACTGTAAACATCAACCGTACCAAAATCCCAAAAACGAGGCCTTTGGAGCCTGAAAGAGCAAAATTAATTACCAACAAAATCCCTGGAGGGACCCTTAATAATATTAATCATAATAAGATCCCTGGCAGGGCCTTCGAGTCTAATCAACACCTAAGGGGCTGACAAAATCCAAGAAAAGGGCCTTTGAACGATTAATCAGTAACGTAAAATATAGGAGAGGAAATTAATTATAGCAAATTCTGTTTTTCGAATGAAATTCCTTTCTTCTATTTAAACCATGGGGTGCCAAAGAGAACAACTGAGCACTCCAGTAAGTCTCTTTTGTAATGATGTAGGAAGCTCTTGTTCAGTCCATTTAGGACGATGCAGGTTTTAGAAAGCTATAGATCAGCTCTCCACCGCAGTGTTGATATCTGTACGTTCGTGTTGATTTAGACTCCAATTTCATGTCAAAAGCAGTCTTAACCCTTTACCCCCTAAGGTGAACGGCAGTTTTTCCCAAATCGGCAAATAAAGACACTCTGCCTTTGTACAATATGCCATTTGAAAACCCCCAATCAGCTTATTTAAGAATTGACATCAGCAGCTATGAAGGAGATAGACATTTTGAGAGAAATTGCTTTAAAATGGGGAAATGAACGACTTCAAAAATGGATCAGTCTTCTGCTATATTAGGTATACCCCTAAACTATAGCTTATTTAGCAGCTCTTAGTGCATAGCTTGATATGAAACAAGTCTTGCATTCCATTTGCATCCCGTAAATGGAACTAAAAACTTCTGGGGGTGGTCAACCATGTCTTGGATGGGAGGGGGTCAACATTTCATGACTTCAATGAGCAGGTCTTCACAAGACAATTTTCATGGCAAAAATTCGTAGAAATCTATCAAATATTTACAAAGTTATGACCTTGTGTGCCAATTTGCACTCTTAGGGGGCAAAGGGTTAAAAGTCAAATGAACCAAAATTTAGACATTTTTTTTCATTTGAGTTCAATGTGCTCATTAAGTATAAAATAAACATATTCTGAAGTTTCAAACGAATTGAACGAAGCATTGCGGAGATATTGGAATGTTAAAATCACTGTTTTTTATCCTTCATAATCGTAGAGCGGTTGGGAAAATTGTCGGATAATTGTCGGAAATAAAACTTGTAACATCATTGTTGGTGAGCTCAAGAAATGTGGGAAATTTGAAACTGTTTTGATTTCAAGTTCACAGTGAACTTCAGAGGAAAACCACTCAAAATCAAAAGTTAGCACTTTCAAGTTCCCCCAGGACCCAAACTTCAAAGAGAATGGCTTATAAAAATGAAAAGAGAATGCTTCATGCCCTCGAAGCATTTGAGCGTTTGTGTAAAACACTTTACCGAAGGCAGCTTCGAACAAAATCTTGTAGTAAGGAGTTTGTTGGGACCCTCTTTCAAGCTTCATCAACTTGTAGTCAAGAAAGACACGATACCAACGATTTTTAACTTCACTATGGCACGTTGCAAGCCGGCAATTGGACAAAAAAGAAACAACGAAAACAAGCGAATAATGCCCGCCGAACAGCAGGCGAACTCCTCGGCCATATCCCAAGTAAAATAAGGTTTGCATTTAGATCCAAACCTTCCCCACGAAAGACTCACCAGGGACCTTTAGCATCGAGAGGATTTGGGACGGCGACCGGAAGTAATTTTCATTTCCGGCATACGCTGTCAGTTTTGACGCGAGGTCGTGGGAGGCCTACGTTAGACTGCTTTTTGCGTTGTACAGAAAACGTCAGTGTATTTCTGCCTTTCACTCCTCTAGTTTCGGATTTCAGCCAGAATTTTGTCCTTAACGGCTTGCAGGATGAAGTGAGATTGATATTTATTCAAAGATGAGAAGGAGAAAATGATATTCTTTTACTTTCTTGCAGGCTATACTCGTGTGTTGTCGAAAGCTGGATTTGTAAATGGCAGGAACGTAAGAGAGAAAACTGAAGTAAGATCCCAAAATTAAAAGTGCTTATAAAGCACTGAGTTTCAGAGAACATAAACTTAGCTAAACTTCAACCTTGCTACTCTTAACAATACTAATTTCCACATAGACCGCTCAAAACTTACTGGAAATATTTCTCTAGTGTTGGAGGCTCAAGTTCAAAATATTCAGATGTCTGATTGCCATATAAACAAGTTATGGCATTGCATAACACTGCACAGACAACATACATTTTGCCCACAGTGCTAAGTCCTATCTTCAGGTTCTTTTTGTAATCTAAAAACTTAAAAGAAGTTATGATGTCACCAAAGATCCAGTCTACAGAGGTGTGTACTGTGCTCATTGCTGTATTATATGCTTCCATTAGTGGTGTAAGATGGTCTTGTCGAAATGGAGCCTGGAGGTGAATGTGGAGGGGATATGCAGGATCACCGTAAACACACATAGGTGTTCCAGCTGGTGAAAAGGCAAATCTTCCTAGGTCATTCAACAATCCAGAATTGGCAAGCATCCCAGCATCATGTTTACAACCCTCTCACATGCAAAGAAAAGGGTTTAAAAAAGGTTATTTTAAAAGATAAAAGCAATAGTTGATCAAAGCAACTATTGTCTCACAAGAACCCTATACATAGGAAATAATGGTTTTCGTGCCATTTCTCTAGTCAAATTTGGACTAATCAACAGAGAGCCCCATGTGGTATTTCTCACCTGAAAGTACTGACATACTTGTGGGGCCTGAAAGGGTAAAGTTTGTGAGTTCTGGGTTCTAAAATAGGGCATATATATTTTTTATTTATCATTAGTACAGGCCTTAAAACCGACCTTTAAATTGATTATCTTTTGGCAAAGTTAGTGACAATCCTTAGCTTTTTTGTGTGTAAGACTTGTACTATAAAGGATCTAGAGCGATGCAAATTAAGTACTCACCTACTGGTCCAAAGATATTGCCAATTAATCCATTGGGCAAGGTAACAGACTGAAATTTCAGTCCATGCACTCTCTTGTGTACTTTGTACACAACTCTTTGCCCAGTACCAGGTCTTGAAATTGGCCGAACAGTCCCATCTATAAAACCAAAGCAGTTGTCCAGTGGTGCACCTTTCCTTGATACTGCTTCAGCATACGTCTGAAGAGCAGTGGAGGCCAGGACGTCTCTGTTCCAATCTGTGACCAGATGTGAGTGGGTTTCATAGATGTAATCTAAGACCTAATTTGAGATCAAATTTAGGACAGATACTGGACGTGGAAATCGAGGAATTATATCTCTGTATCGACAAGGATAGCTTGTTCGCCTCAGTAGCAGGCACAGCCCTTTGAGGCCATCACATAGGCTCCTTTGTCTGCATTTGATCACAGGAGGAATTTGTGACACATCTGCAAGTCGGGGGAGATCAGCCTTCTCTATGTGAAATTCCGCCTTGCAGTCAGCTTGGCCCATATCATCTAAGTTGAACTTATCATAGGACTCGTTACTGAAATCTGGATTTTTCGACTGAAAACAATCGTTAAGTAAAACGAATTCTTCATCAGAAATAGGGTTCTCACTGTGAGATAGCAATAGCCAATCTCTGATATTTTTAAACTTGTTCATTTTTAATTAAACGCTAAAAAAACTCTAGAAAGTCTGTGCTCAGAGATGGTCGTCTAGTGCCGCCGCAATGTGAAGGAAGCTGCTAAAGGTTTGTATTTGGCAGGAACAACGTCGTTCTCAATCCAGATCCTCTTGTACACTGCCGTTGCTGCCGCTCGAAAAATATGAGTTGCTAAAGGTCCCTACTGACGCAGAAACGCAGCAATGTTCAAGACAACAATGACGTCACAAAGCAGAGTCTCGCTTCCATTCCTCCATTAAAGTGCGCAGTCATTTTGGAAACGTTTTCGTGAAACCATTGACTGTCTTCGTACTTTTAACTTTTTTACTCCTTTTCACGGCTCAGAAAGAAAAATTTCTGCCTGAGTTTCCTTTCACATTTTTTTAAACATTTCGTCACTATAAAATGACTGAAGAAAAGATGTCTGAATTTTGGTTCGTTTGACCTTTAATTAAATTGTATAATTCATGATTCAATGAAAAGACGGTGAAATTAGTCTTCCTGGCCTCAAAAGGCATACAAGAGAGTGATTTCCTTTTATTTGAGCTACGATAAGCCTTGTGGAAAGCTAGCTCTAGGACAGAATTGTATCAAGATTATCAGTGACAAGTCAAATTATGTGGCTATGTATCTGCGAATGCAGACAGACATTGAAATTAAATGTCACGTAAGGGTTACTTTTTCGCTGAAATATAGAAGTAAATAACCGATTCAACTGCTTGCCATGCTCTTGTCACCATGATCGGCAAGAAAGAGACGTGCCTCCTACCACCTAAAAGCAGGTCAAGACCTACCTGCATTAAAACAAGGGAGAGGCAAGGCTCAACCACCTAATACTTCTGCATGTCCACAAGAAATTAGCAGATGGTATGGAGATGTTGGAAGTTGCTAATACGTCTGTGGGAGAAAACCACCAGTGCAAGCATTTGTTTGGGAAGTTTTAAAAGTGACATCCCCATGAGGTCTGTGTTTACTTGGAAGGCCACTGTGACAGTCTAAAATGGCTGCAAACTTACAAATGATGACTCTGACAGGTAAAACATTTGCTGTTTTCAACATATAGAGAACATTCCAATGGGTTGGGTTCTTTGGATGCAAACCCTCTACTTTTAATATACAAAGAGCTACTTAAACTTTTTGTGCCCCAACCTCCCATCAGTTTCTTAAGGCTTGCTAAAGCCCTGATGTTTAGTGACCTCACAAGCCATTCTGAACCAGTAGATTTTATTCATTTGAAGAATAATTACTTGATGCATTACATGTATGTTTGCACTATATGTATATGCTGGGAAACAATTACATGCCTAACATGCTGAAATAGCTACAAGATCGCTACTGGTGTCTGGACTCGACTCTGTCCACCTTGTGAACATTCCACCAAAAATGAGTATCTCCCCCCTGGCTACAACAACAGAATGTAAAGAGGTAGCAGGCAAAAAGCTTTGAGCCTCTGGAGGAGGCTTCCATGTGCATGAGAAATGCGAGTGTATTTGGCTACAGTCTAGAATAAAAATTTGCATGGGCAACAAACCGTCAAGGCCTGGCCTCTGCCTGGCCCCTTTCTGTCCTTCCAAAGAAAGGGCATGTACTTGATGGCGAGGTACACTAAACACTAGAACCGTGTCCTTGACATAGACGGCAGGGTGACACCATAATTGGGGAGCCTCCCATTGGCGGTTCTCCACCTCTAGCTCTTGCCAGATCCATTGATTTGTATCCAGAATCCAAACATCTCCAAATAACTGAGAAGAGCATAGAGAACAGTACCCTCTAATGACGTCATAACAAAATGATACTGAACAGCAGGAAGTACGCAGATAAGCAGAAAAAGCTCCCCATTCCCCCATATAAGAAGGAACAAATAATTTAGCCAAAGAAAAATACAAGTAAGAAAATGGGAGAAAAGAGACTAGACATGATTGAGAATCATTATTTACTCACCAAGTCTGGTCCACCACATCCCCCAAGAATAAGAATTGTGTGCTCATCCACTACCATCTAATGGAAATCAATGTAACAACATTACCTGACGAAAAATTCTGGACTGTATCTTCAGAATGTTTTAAAACACTCTGAAGATATTTTTAAAATTTGGTATTAACATGGTTTGCACAGACCTTGAGAAGTGATTGAAAATTACCATATCCTTGGAAATCTCATTCCCAGGGTCTTTCTTCTTAACTCCCCCATGATGTGAAGAAGAAGAGAGACCCTGGGAAAGAGGTTATTTATGTGGAGAAAAATGACTATTGTCAAAGGAAAAAATAAAGAACTGGAGATCCAGAATTACAGAGGACACTTCAAGATGGGGAAGAAGAAAGTACAAAATAAAAATCAGCAACAGGCTTTCTGTCAGTAAGATCATGGTACAAAAAAATATGTTTATTAACTCCAATTTGAATTTAGGTATTGTTGATTTAGTACTCATTTCATCAAATAATAATAATCGTCATCATCATCATCATCATAATGATAATAATCATAAAGATTGCGATGATAACGGTGATAATGATAATAATGATGATGATGATGATAATGATAATATTGATAATAATGGTAACAATGGTATTAATGATAATGATAATAAAGCCTAAAAGTGGAGCTCCTAATTGCAATAATTAACCATAAAGGTAAAAAGAGGATTTGTTTTCCTTGGATCAGAAACTCAAAAAATGATCAATTGCAAGCATGTAATTGATCTGCCGTGGTTTCACTATTTTTTCCAGTTAAATTTTAACAAACTATACCCAATAAGTTAGAGTACTTAAGATTGTAGAATCAAGAGGCAATTATGCAAGGAATATGTCAGAAGAAAGGTCAACAATGTGCCAAGGGTTAATATGTGCAAAATTTAGCCTTTGCACATACTCCCTCCTTCTCTCCTAAATCAGAGTAATAACCTGGCTTGTGAGAACGATCCAATCGAGAAACCAGCAGTCAGCTGGTCAGCAGTCAAGCTCTTAAAGTGAGCCCACGACATCGTCATGTGATATTGATCAGCAGATACCTTAATTGTAACATGGACGTCCAATATCAAAGATGCACCTATGGTAATGGTGCTACTCTCTTATTTTTCAAGGTATGGGGTTTGGCATATAGATGTACGAACAGACGGACACCCATACAGACAGTCACGTGACAACCAAAATTTTTTGAGATTGATGGGTTACCAAATTTTCTAAGGTATGGGGCTCTGTCCGTTCAGGAGCTCCGCTAATGATGATAATAATGATAATAATGACAATGATAATGATAATAATAATTTAAAAATAATAACTTAGAAAGCACTAAAACCCAAAAGTTCAATGGCGCTTTACAAAACATAAGAAGAAAGATAAACAAATATACAAATATCTCAAAGTTAAATAACAGAACAAAAAGATAATTGTACATAAGTATTCATGCATAAAAAGCTTGTTTAAAACAATGTATTTTTAAAAGAGACTAAAACGTCTCCAGCAATTTTGCTTGTCTGATCTTATCTGGTGTTCCACAGTATTGGGGCACCAACAAAGAAAGCATGTCATCCACAGCTTGCTAATCCATATTTCCATATTTCCATATGGTCACTTAATTTACTGATTAAGATTATAAACACCTAACTTGGTCATAACTTTTGACAAGTTCTTGTAAATAAGTAGGTGCCAAGCCATTTATTTGCCTTGTAAGTCCATACGTTTAGCAACCGTTATTTTGCACTGGTTTCAATTTTGCTCAGGACCTCCTACTGCCTGTCTGGCATGGGTTTTGTATAGGTCCTTGCTAGACACTGTACTATGCCACCATGACTTATTTCAAGCAGGTTTGGGAGGAGGCTTAATACATGTCGGGGGGAGGGCTGACATGAATTACTACCCTGACCTTCAATGATCCAAGTTTGCCTGTTCATACTGTAAAATATAGTGAACACTATTTACTTTAAACTTTACAGGCAAATTTTCATTGTTTCCATCTTGGATTGCTAATAATTAAGACATAGAAAACATGTACTGTGTTTCTATCGAGTTATAGAAACACAAGTGGAAGTTTGGGAGAACGAGAAATGCTGTGGGAACACAAGCTGTAGATGAGTGTTTCCACAGCTTTTTCGAGTTCTCCCAAACTTTCACAAGTGTTTCTATAACTCAATAGAAACACGGAGAACATGTTTTCTATTTCTTTTAGGATACACCACAACAAAAAAGGGAAACAACTTGTTTACTTTGATCATCACCATGAAAATTCTCTTTGCTCGTGCCATCATTATGTCAACAGCTTGTGCTAGTTCTGTGTTTCTATCGAGATATAGAAACACGATTTTTAACCAATCAGTGTGCATATTTTCTTAGGGCTGTTTTCTAAGTCATAATAATTAACAATAATTTATTTCTTATATAGGGCTTTTTACAATAAAAACAATCAATAGCACTTTACAACTGGTATAAAAATGATAACAAATATTTACAGGGATAAGGTAAAAATATCTACAAAGATAAATAACTGCTAAATTACAATATATGCCTAATGTCAAAACAATAGTATTTAAATGTAAAATGTAGGTGATCCAAAAATCCAATATTATAATGTAAAGTTTCTACCGAGACCAGTTCTGAGTATATTTTTACTGATGTATTGAAAAGATTAATAACAGCTGCTTAATATATACCTTTACTGATTGAAATTGATACATTTACCTAACCATTGTCCACACTGGGTGAACAGGAGACAATTGCGTACATTAGTGCATTTGAATAGACTTTTCTGCATTACGTAATCCTTTAGTGTTAGACTTGCAATCGTACATTTTAGTTCACAACTAGTATCATATTAGTTCATAACTTAGCCTTGTTTTTGTTCGTGTAAATAAGTTTAATTCTAATCCTTGGCATGTGCGGTATGGATCAGAACTTCTTGGACATTTTCAAATATTGAGGACACTTGGATTGTAAGGGCATCGTTTAAAAGTTTATAATGTGTGAAATCGAATAAATGTTTATCTGGTAAACATTTGATGGTAGCAGATTGAGGTTTCAAATCATGTCAGTGGACGGCGAGCATGACGAAGCAGTGGATGAAGAAGAAGACCACATCGAAAGTTTAAAGCAGCAAAAAGCGAAGGATAAATCGACCTTCACCAGGATCAAGAACAAGTTGTTGAGCCTTCTAGATGAAGAAGATTATCCAAGTCAGCAGAAAGTCAAGGCAGTTTGTCAAAAGCTTTGTGAAGTGCAAAAACGCACAAATTTACTAGTGGTCAGCAGTTCCTCAATGAACGCAATTGTGACCTTCCATGGGAAAACGTACTTTAATGCTTTTCCGTTTAACAGTTCTAAGCATTTGTTAGTCATTTGTTTACCGTTAAAACAGTTTAGAAAATAGTTACAACGTCCGTTAAAATTTTCACTCTGGCCGTTTATAGCATTGGAAAAGTTGTTAAAAGTGTTTTCACCGTCCGTTAAAAGTGTTAGTAAAAACCATTCAAATTTCCCTTCAATGGCGTTAAAAGATCTTGAAAGCGTTCGAAAAGTTGTTAAATCAAAACGTTGACTGTTTAAGTTAAATGCTCAACTGGTTGTGTTGAATTAAATGTAAAACAATTATGAGTAAGCTGTTTTTCATTTATGCGGCTTAGTTTATCTACGAGGCGAGAGGTGAAACACCCTGCGAGCAGAGCCTCTTTTATTGCTTTTTTGAGCGGACAGGAGGTGGAAAAAGAGGCTCTGCACAAATCTGCTTTAGTCTTTGAAGTGGTCGTAGCCCCAAATCTCGGGCTAGTCATTCTGGTTTACAGTCGTCAAACTGGTTTTCGAGTGCGAGCATCAACTTTTATGAGAAACTGATGATCGAAACTGAGCCCACTGGATACAAGAAAGACATGGCGGCGAAAGGGCTGGCGAAAGGAGATCGTGCGAAAATGCTTGATGATGCTCTGCTTACACGCAAGCATCAGTCAGCTTCTATCAAGTCTTTCACATCTGGGACTTTCATGCTCTGTAGAGCAAAAAAAAATTTTGCAGAGTGCGAAAAGGCCTAGGTACGAGTTAAGCGCTACAGTCTAACGCAGGACTTGTAAGTAGCGGTTTTCTCAGTAAGGTCGCGTAAGAAATAACAATAGGTAAACTATTCGTTCTTTTCATTCCTTTATTTACTCTCTTCCTATTCAACAAGATTGTGTACTCCCTGTGGAGTTTCTATAAAATTAATAACATGCAATCAGAGTTTCAACGTATCCAGAACAAGCAAACAAGCAGACTGCACTTCATGAGTTGTTTTCGTTCAGATCCAGGCTATTTTTGATGAAAAATTACCAGCATACCTTGTTTCCCTTGGAATAGCCGCTCCCCGAAACTTCTGGCACGTTTGTACTCAAGCCATTCACACATGGATGGAAAATCATTCATAGGAAACACAATAGCTACTTTGTAAGTCACATTGCGTGATTCCTTTTCGATTTCGATTGATGGTGAGTGAAGCCTGGGGAGAGTGCAGTTACTATGACAATATGATGCACGGAGTAGCCTGGGCATTCCTAACTGATCAGAATGTAAACTTCAATGGACGTATCTTGTTTTTGTGAGTTTCGGCAAGACTTTGAGAAGGAAATTGAATTCCAGAAATGTTCCTTTATGTTATTGAATGTCATACTGATCGAAGAGTCAAATTTTATGGCAGTATTAAGTTTGTAACTGGAGTGAATTTGGCATGCTTACTTCGTCAATTCGGTTCTGTGAACAATGTGCTTGTAATACCATCTCTGCCCTTTGAGTTTTGCTCAGCTTTGAGCTTTGTGAATGGAAGTCATGGTAAGTACTAAAACGCTATTACAACCACGTAAAATGCCTTGGTCTCTTAATGGATACAATTTGATTATAATTAAAGTTAACTTAGTATATAAACTTTTCCAATCGTACGAGTGCTCTGGCCTTATCATTTCCAACTATTATCTCGATACAGGTACAGCGTAAGCTTGTATTTACCCAGTTAAAACGTCATCTGCTTGGTTTTCGAAAATTGAAGCG